TTAGAGGCAAGAGGTCAGAGGAGCCTGGCAGACTACAGGAGGTCACAAAGAGTCAGGCACAACTGAGCACTATATAAATTGGTACCAACCCAGAAGAGAGCAATGTGTCAAACTCTATCCAAACTTAGAGCACCCAAGATCTTTGACTTGGCAAGTCTGCTTCAAGGAATTTATTCTACAGATAGTTCTTGTATAGAAAATAGGGATATTTGGGATAGGACTATTTATTACAGCATTATTTGGGATAACAGAGTCTAGAACAACCTAAATGGGCATTAATCAGAGACTAGTTAGATAATGAAATAACATGAAACCATTAAAAGTATAGAGCGATCTTTTGTGTGCTAATATGGAAAGATCTCCAAGAATGTATCTTTAGGCAAAAAGAGCAAGGTGGAGATTAGTGTACATTATTCTACCTTTAGTTTTTGTTTTAATTGTTATTAGAGTGTAGCTACTTTACAATGTTGTGTTTCTGCTGTAAGCAAAGTCAATCAGTTATATTCATACATATACATAAAGCCTCTCTTTTTTGGATTTCCTTCCCACTTAGGTCACCACAGAGCACTGAGAAGAATTCTCTGTGCTGCATGGAAGGTTCTCACTACTTATCTACATTATACATAGTATCAATAGTATATATATATGTCTATCCCAATCTCCCAATTTATCCCACCCCCTTTCCCCCTCCCTTGGTGTCCATGTTTGTTGTCTACATCTGTGTCTCTATTTCTGCTTTGCAAATAGGTTCATCTGTCCATTTTCCTAGATTCCACATATATGCATTTATATATGGTATTTCTTTTTCTGACTTATTTCACTTAGTATCACAGTCTCTTGGTCCATCTGTGTCTGCAAATGGCAGGTTTTTTCCTTTTTATGGTTAAGTAATACTCAATTATTCATGATCTGAGCCACAGTCAGCTCCTGGTCTTGTTTTTGCTGACTGTATAGAGCTTCTCCATCTTTGGCTGCAAAGAATATAATCAATCTGATTTCGGTGTTGACCATCTGGTGATGTCCATGTGTAGAGTCTTCCCTTGTGTTGTTGGAAGAGGGTGTTTGCTAAGACCAGTGCATTCTCTTGGCAAAACTCTATTAGCCTTTGCCCTGCTTCATTCTGTACTCCAAGGCCAAATTTGCCTGTTACTCCAGGTGTTTCTTGACTTGCTACTTCTGCATTCCGGTCCCCTATAATGAAAAGGATGTCTTTTTTGGGTGTTCTAAAAGGTCTTGTAAGTCTTCATAGAACCATTCAACTTCCGCTTCTTCAGCGTTACTGGTTGGGGCATAGACTTGGATTACCGTGATACTGAATGGTTTGCCTTGGAAACGAACAGAGATTATTCTGTCATTTTTGAGATTGCATCCAAGTACTGCATTTTGGACTCTTTTGTTGACCATGATGGCTACTCCATTTCTTCTAAGGGATACCTATCCACAGTAGTAGATAAAATACGTGAAATGTGAACTTCCAGATGTTCAAGCTGGTTTTAGAAAAGGCCGAGGAACCAGAGATCAAATTGCCAACATCCGCTGGATCATCGAAAAAGCAAGAGATTTCCAGAAAAACATCTATTTCTGCTTTATTGACTATGCCAAAGCCTTTGACTGTGTGGATCACAATAAACTGTGGAAAATTCTTCAAGAGATGGGAATACCAGACCACCTGACCCACCTCTTGAGAAACCTATATGCAGGTCAGGAAGCAACAGTTAGAACTGGACATGAACCAACAGACTGTATCCAAATAGGAAAAGGAGTACATCAAGGCTGTATATTGTCACCCTGCTTATTTAACTTATATGCAGAGTACATCATGAGAAACACTGGGCTGGAGGAAGCACAAGCTGGAATCAAGATTGCCGGGAGAAATATCAATAACCTCAGATATGCAGATGACACCACCATTATGGCAGAAAGTGAAGAGGAACTAAAAAGCCTTTTGATGAAAGTGAAAGAGGAGAGTGAAAAAGTTGGCTTAAAGTTTATCATTCAGAAAACTAAGATCATGGCATCTGGTCCCATCACCTGATGGGAAATAGATGGGGAGACAGTAGAAACAGTGTCAGACTTTATTTTTTGGGGCTCCAAAATCACTGCAGATGGTGATTGTAGCCATGAAATTAAAAGACACTTACTCCTTGGAAGGAAAGTTATGACCAACCTAGATAGCATATTAAAAAGCAAGAGACATTACTTTGCCAACAAAGGTCCGTCTAGTCAAGGCTATGGTTTTTCCAGCGGTCATGTATGGATGTGAGTTGGACTGTGAAGAAAGCTGAGTGCCAAAGAATTGATGCTTTTGAACTGTGGTGTTGGAGAAGACTCTTGAGAGTCCCTTGGACTGCAAGGAGTTCATCCTAAAGGAGATCAGTCCTGAGTGTTCATTGGAAGGACTGATGTTGAAGCTGAAACTCCAATACTTTGTCCACCTGATACAAAGAGCTGACTCATTGGAAAAGACCCTGATGCTGGGAGGGATTGGGGGCAGGAGGAGAAGGGGACGACAGAGGATGAGATGGTTGGATGGCATCACCGACTCAATGGACATGAGTTTGAGTAAACTCTGGGAGTTGGTAATGGACAGGGAGCCTGGCGTGCTGCGATTCATGGGGTCGCAGAGTCGGACACGACTGAGCGACTGAACTGAACTGAATACTCCATTGTATATATGTACCACATCCTCTAATCCATTCCTCTGTTGATAGACATTTAGGTTGCTTTCATGTCCTGGCTATTGTAAATAGTGCTCCAATAAACATTGGCATATGTGTATCTTTTGGAGATATAGTTTTCTCCCAGTATATGTCCAAGAATGGGATTGCTGGGGTCACATGGTAGTTCTATTTTTATTTTTTTTTTAAGGAGCCTCCACACTGTTCTCCACATTCCCACCAATAGTGTAGGAGGGTTCCCTTTTCTCCATACCCTCTCCAGCATTTATTGTTGTAGATTTTTTGATAAACACCATTGATCAGAGTGAGATGGTATCTCATTGTAGTTTTTTGTTATTTTTTTTTTATTAGTTGGAGGCTAATTACTTTACAATATTGTAGTGGTTTTTGTCATACATTGACATGAATCAGCCATGGATATATTTGCATTTCTCTGATTATTAGTGATGCTGAGCATCTTTTCATGTGCCTCTTGGCCATCTGTACGTGTTCTTTGGAGAAATGCCTATGTAGGTCTTATGCCCATTTTTGATTGGTCTGTTTGTTTTTTCTTGATACTGAGCTGCACAAGCTGTTTATTTTGGAAATTAATCCCCTTGTTGGTTGCTTAGTTTGCAAATATTTTCTCCCATTCTGAGGGTTGTCTTTTCATCTTGTTTATGGTTTCCTTTGTCATGTAAAAGCTTTCAAGTTTAATTAGGTCCCATTTATTTATTTTTGTTTTTAAAAATAAAAAAATGTAATGGAGAGTGACTGCTAATGACTATGGATTTCTTTCTGGGGTTATAAAAATGTTCTGGAATTAGATAGTAATGATATTATTAGATGTCATTAGATGATCATGATGTTAGTAGATGTCATTAGATATTCACGATGTGAATATACTGAAATGCACTGAATTGTAAACCTTAAATGGTAAATTTTATGATACGTGAATTATATGACCATAAAAATACAAAGCAATAAAGGTATGCATACTCCTTTCTTAGTTGTATTCAACTCTTTGTGACCCCATGGACTATAGCCTACCAGACTCCTCTGTCCATGGCATTTTCTAAGAATACTGGAATGGGTTGCTATTTCCTCCTCCAGGGAATCTTCCCGACCCGGGGAATGAACCCATGTCTTCTGTGTCTCCTGTATTGCAGGTGGATTCTTTACCACTGAGCCATCAGGGAAGCCCCCATATTAAAGTTATACACCTTTACAAAGAAAAAATGAACTGTTTCTAAAAGGATGTATTGAAAACTGGCAAAAGATGTAGTTTGGGGAAGTGGGGAGAAAATGATGGGAATGGAAGGGAGGCTTATTATTCACCACATACAGCAGTGTGTGCCTTTAAAATTCTGAAATACGCATTTGTATCACCTAATCAAAAATACCATACTTTATAGAAAGGGAATCTGTTAATTATTAAATATACTTTAACAATATAAAAGCAATTTAAGAAATTGTACCTATAAACTGCACAATTCCATTGTGATTTAACTTTGGTTTTATTGTCAAGTTACCAAATGAAGTATTTGAGAATATGAAGAAATGCATGTTAGAGTAATTTTTAAAGAAAACTGCAATTTTTAAAGAAAACTGTAAACCACTCAAGAAAGTAGGCCATGCTAATTAGAAGGAATTAATTGGGTAATTCCATTTCACCTACTTAAAATCCCCCATCACCTGTAATTGAAGTAACTTTCCTCTCTCCTTCCAGTCCCTAAACCATTATGTGGTATTGACAGTGTTGTGTAACAAGGTTCTGAATCCCTCATCAAAAGTGGCTTTATTTCAGTGGAGGATTCCATAACCCCGTATGAGCTGATAATAATGGAAACAACCTTGAGATTATACACAATGTGATTGAACCTGATTAACTAAAGAGAATAACTTTATCCAAATATGATGATACACTATTATAACTGATTAAGGTGATATGAGGAGCCTTGAAGAGAAGGCCAAGAGGGAGGTAAAAATGCAGTTAGAGATGTTCTGCATGGCTTGGCAAGCAGTGGTACATGAATTTGATCATTTCTTATTCCCACACCCACTCCTTTTTTCCCGTGAGTGAAAATTGGTCCAAAGGATATTGACTGACTCTTGAATTTCTTAGAAAAATAAATCTTCAGAAAACTTATTTGACACAAAGAGATGTGTTTACCACACATGGAGACCAATGGAGAGGAAGAAAATTCCGTTCCCTAATTTAAGTATTAGCATGATGAATAGACTTATATATTCCTTTTTCTCCTACTGCTTTTGCAAGGAGCAATATGAACATGAAATAGAGAAACTCTCAAAGGATATCCACTTCACGTGTGTTTGTTTCAGATATATAACGAAAGAAGATGTTGCTGCAGCCTCCATGGACAAGGTGAAGAATGACGGAGGCCATGTCCGACTGATCACAAAGAGGCCCAGGCCAGGGAACCCTTCTACAAAGTAAGAGGTTTTTTACTTGTCAGGCATAGTGTTACTAAGGCTCTTTGTTTAAATGAATGTGTTCATTTCTATAACAATAATTTACCTCTGTGTGACCACTTTACATGTTACAAAAAGCTTTCACAATGTAATAGCTCTTCTGTCCTAGCAATGCTGTGAGGCTCCTGATGCCATAAATTAGAGATCAAGAAGGTACCTGAGGCCAAGTGGGTTATGTGACCTGCCCCAGGCTACCAGATACTAGTATTGAGGTCCAATCTGGGCTCTGTCCCTCAGTCTTGAGTTCCTTCTATCATAAAAGGTTTTTCTCTTAACACTTCTAACAGCAAAGTAACTATTCTAATTCCCATGCAGGACTTTTCAACATTCTTGAGTAATGTCCCTTTTCCTTTAGTTTAACAAAGTGAGCTTATGTCCTGCCATGTTTCATCTCTAATTTTAATTCTATCAACTCCAAGTTTACCTGTAAGGAGGCACGTATGTAGCAAGTCTCCCATTCTAATTCCTATCAGCACTGTTGGTTCCCTGGTTCTGCCACCGAATGGATGTGAACAGTCTGTCTCCTGAAGGCCAGCAATATTCAGATGTTCATGGAAGTCTTGGTAATGGCCTCCTGGTCCTAATGAAGTGTGTGACCCAACACACTGAGTGAGCAGGGTAGCCTGTCTTTTCCCAGACTGAAGAAGCATTTTCTAACTTTTTATTTTCCATCTTCTCCAGATGCCTCAGAGTCTGTGTAACTTGAAGACATCTAAGTTACAAAGAGAGGCAGCGTATTGGTATTCAAATTAATTTTTCTGAACACACCATTCTTTCTTTTCCTTGGTGTGTAATAAAGTGCTGACTATAGCTATTAATATTTCATTTCCCCAGTGAATCACAGAATCTGCATGCCCTATGTTTGCTGTTTGTCAGCACAGAAACTTTGAAGACCTTTAAATGAAAAACAATGATTTAAAATAGAGTAAGCCTTCATTAATTACCTATTCAATGTTTTGCCCCTTCTAGAGAATTTCTTGAAGATGGAGAAGGTGTCCCATTTCTAAATGCCTGCACAGCCCACAGTGATCTCACTCTGAAGGCTTCTACATCCAAAGGCTATTTGCAGGCTGTGGATAACGAAGGAAATCCACTTTGCCTTCGCTGTCAGCAGCCCACTTGCCAAACTAAGCAAGAGCGTAAAGCAAATGCTTGGGATTCACGGTTCTGTTCTCTGAAATGTCAGGAGGAGTTTTGGATTCGATCTAATAATAGTTACCTGCGAGCCAAAGTATTTGAAATTGAACATGGTGTGTGTCAGCTGTGTAATCTGAATGCACAAGAACTCTTTTTACGTCTGAGAGATGCCCCTAAAAGTCAGAGGAAGAGTCTTCTGGATGCTACCTGGACCTCAAAGCTCCCATTGGAACAGGTAAATTTTAATCACTGACTGATAAAGACAGCATTGCACTGTGATGAACATTGACTCACTTTCCTCTTAAAACCTTTTTAATATGAGAACTTTCAGATACATTTACAAAAGCAGAATAATGAACCCACACACCTGTCACCCGACTTTACCAACATTTTGTTATTCATTTTCATGTCTCCCTCACTTCGATTCTTTTTCTCTCCTGGAATTATTTTAAAGTAGATCTCAGACAGCTTTTCATTTCACCCTTAGATACTTTCATTATGTACCTTTCACAGATGAAGACTTTCTTTCTCCCTCGCCTTTGTCTTTCTCTTTTAAATATAAACCCATAGCCCAAGATCCGTGATCACACCCAACATAATTATTGGTTTCCCAGATGGTCTCAAAAATGTCTAGGAATTGCTTTGTTCAAATTAGGATCAAAATATGACCTGCACATTGCATTTGGTCATTATACCTCTTATGTTTCATTTAATCTGTAATATAACCCCTTTCCTTTTTTTTACTCCACTGATTGTTAAAGAAACCAGATCATTTGCCTGTGGGGATTTCCCACATTCTGGATTTGTGTGTGGTCCACATTCTGGACCTGTATCCTCATGATGTTGTTTGACGTGTTTCTCTATCTCCCTGACTTATTAGATAATGGTTATAAGATCTAGAAGTTTAATTAGATTCTTTTTTCAACATTTTTTAATGTGACCATTTTTTAAAGTCTTTATTGAATTTGTTACAGTATTGTTTATGTTTTATGTTTCGGTTCTTTGGCCTCAAGGCACGTGGGTTCTTAGCTCCCCCACTAGGAATCGAACCTGTACCCCCTGCACTGGAAGGCGAAATCTTAACCACTGAACCACCAGGGAAGTCCCTAACTAGATTCTCATTAGATTATTTTGGGAAGAGATCGTAACAGATGGTGCATTGCACTGAGAGGCACTTAGGGTCTGGTCATTCCACTTTCCATGATGTTAATATTGAGTGACAAGGGGTAAACAGATAATCCCTAAAATGTAGTTCATTACAATGCAAAGGAAACTTATATTTGTTTATTCCACTGTAAAATGTAATTTATGATAAAATACTCTTCCCAACACAGTATTCTCAGTATCACTTTGACTCCCAAAACTCAGTTGGGTTTCCAATGTTGTGATCCAAGCACCTCTAAACTTCAAACTAGAGCAAAATGTAAAAATTGGAGTATGCTTCGTTTTTAAAAATGACTCTACAAAAATATTGGATAAATTCCAGAAAAAATCTTACAGTTTTATTTACTTAGTATTGCTGAATTAACTAATAGGCATTTCTGCAAAGGTGAAGTAGCATGACTTTCAGAGGTAGGGAAATACACTATTCCCCTAACGTTATCCAGAGCTCTTGAAAGATCTTCTAGTCTAGTTGGTGGGCCGCGTGTGACACCCATCCCAGAGACATCAGCCAGACTCCAGCTACTGTCTGCTGCCTCCATGTGGAGACTTCCAGAAGACACACACAAGAAATGACTCATGGACATCTGGAAGGCAGTCTGTCCAAGAATGCAGAAGTAATGTAGCATACATCTAGAAGAGGAGCGCTTAGAGAATAAGCAGTGCCCAGGGCACAGATGGGGTTGACCAGGGGGAGAGGGGATGCTTCTTTCCAGAGGTGACTTTAGAACATAGAAAGCTGGCCCCGAGTGATTTAGAATTCTTGGGAAGAATAAAGAAGCACCTTCTGGATTACAAAATGTCACGGTGGAGACTGCTCAGCACAGAAGGTTCGGTCACAAACGAGACGACCAAAACGGGTGTTTCTCCCCTGAGAGTGTGCCACTCGCTTTATGCACAAGAAGCCGTGTGGCATTGCCTCTGACAATGCCAACCCCAAACATAAAAATCATAGATATCTTCTAACCGAAGACGGCAAGTTCAGTATAGGAGAGAGAAAGTCAGCCCATCTACATACAGTGGAGTTCAGGCAGACGGTTCACTGCTTCAGTTTGCTGCCTCCTAGGGCTGCGCTCTCGGGCCAGACACTGTTAAGGTCCCCATGCTGTCTGTGGGCCTGACAGCTTTCCTAAAGCACTTCAGAGATGTGTCACAGATTCCCATGGCCAGCAGCCATGAAGTTGATTATAGAGTCTTCCTTGTTCAAGACCAAGGAAACAAAAACCACTTTCACACTAATCTTTGTCCCATTTAAACCACTCTATTTACACTGCTATGCTGTGAACTGTGACTCAGATCAAATGCTAAAATAATACCAATTAAATGTCAGTCATCACTGGTTAAATATAAAGTGTGTCTGCAAGGACTGGTCTAGGTAGTGTCTACTTTAAATGAATATCTTTGTTTATTCTAAATATTCAAGTTACAGAGATTTGTTCTAGAAATTTGATTCCAGTCCATGTAACTTAGGAGGTTTTCAGGTAATTGCAAAAGTTCTAGATGATCACTATTAAACGTCACTGGTACAGGTACAAAGGCATTTAGGTCAACAATTAAAGGCTGAGTTCAGTAATACTCAGAAGTTTTCCATTTCTAATCTTTTTTTTTTATCAGTTTTGTTTTCGTAACTATATAAACTAGTTCAAAGGTGCATAAGCAACTGATTTCTCCCAGTCTGTCAGGAGGCATGGTGTTTTATACTTGCTTGTAATTTTTTCCAAAATGGGTTTAGGTAAGGGGGGGAAAAACACCTTTTTCAGAGACACATTTTGTTATTATTAACAAATTATTCAAATTGCTAACCTAGAGGGTTTTCCCTGCTCACAATAAAAGCTATAAAAAACCACCCTACGTATTTCGCCCTGTGGTTTTGCTGCGTGAACATGACGGCACGATTCAGAGCCAGCAGCCCCCACAGTGTGTGTTGAAGCTTGCTGACGCTGTGTTCCTGTTGCAGCTCAACGAGATGATAAGCAGCCCAGGGGAAGGGCTCTTCTGGCAGGCGGACCACGTCCGGCCCGTGTCTGGTGGGGGAGGGCAGTGCTCCCTGGACAACCTGCAGACCCTCTGCACAGTCTGCCACAGAGAGGTCAGTGACACGTCTGACTCCATCCTCAGACAGCTCTTTGGAAACGTGCATACACGTGTGGAGGGTTACACAGGTGGCTCTATCTCCTGGTCTGGGGTCTGAGACGTGTTTTATTCTTTTCATTACCTACCACTGGAGTTTTTTCTTGAGGTGTATGCAAGTTCTCAGTCACAGATGAAAAAGAAACTGCTTTCCTTTCAGTTTATTCTAGGACCAGGAAATTTTCACCACTACCTAGAAGAAAATGAATACAACTTAGGTATTGCACAGTTTTGAAAAGACCCAGACCCTCAAACTAGAAGTTCAGTGAATTGGAACAGTGGCATATGTTTGCATCTGCAGCTAAATATGGCCTGAAATATCTGAGAACATGAATAAATTATCTCTAGGAGAAGGCAGTGGCACCCCACTCCAGTACTCTTGCCTGGAAAATCCCATGGACGGAGGAGCCTGGTAGGCTGCAGTCATGGGGTCTCGAAGAGTCGAACATGGCTGAGCGACTTCACTTTCACTTCTATGCATTGGAGAAGGAAATGGCAACCCACTCCAGTGTTCTTGCCTGGAGAATCCCAGGGATGGGGTCCCACAGAGTAGGACACGACTGAAGTGACTTAGCAGTAGCAGTTAGCAGTAGCAGGACCAACTCAGTTCCACATACAGGCATTACACTGTTGACCTAAATATGAAACCTGGTACATCTTGGAGCAATTACCTAGTGCTTAAATCTAAAGGAAAAGAATAACATAATATGGTCTGTCAACTAGGATGAATTTTTAACAAGTAGTTCAGCAAAAGGTTGCAGGATCTAGCTGTTAAGATATAATCTAAGAAAGCAGCATACATTTAATATACAACTTTGTACCCAACTTTTTTTCCACTTATGGCAAAATTTAAGCATTTTCCCATGTTCCCGTGACAAGCATTCAGTGTTTATCATCTAAAATGGCTGCATATTATTCTATTGAACACATCTCTACTGTGGTTAATTACGCCACTCCCATACTGATGAACACTGAAGTTGTTTACATTCTTTGGTTCATATACACAATACTGCCAACCACGTTTTTTTGTATACAAACTATTTTTTACATTTCGAGGTTGTTCCTTAAGATAGATTCTCAGTTATAAAATCATTGAGTCAAGTTTTAAGGTTTTGAGACTGTAGGAGATGAATTCCCTCCATGCTGTTTTCCAAAGGATTGTACTCAGGTATGCTCCTTCGATCCTGGCGGTGAAAAGTGCCTGTTTAACTGCACTGGTATTGCTGCTGTGGTGAAAGAATTATTTTGTTTACTTGTAATTTTTTCAAAATAGGTTAGGTAAGAGGGAAAAAAATCTTTTTCAGAAACATATTTATTGCTTTCAAATTGCTAACCTAGAGGCTTTATTTTAAAGACCCTGATATTTGTAAAAATGCTAATCAACTGTATTTACATTTTGAGAATTTTTCAGATCCTTTACCAGCATTCATATCATAGGAGCACTTTCTTAGCCTCTTTTTAATATTTCAGATTTCTCAATTTATTCACAAATTTTATTGTGTAAAAATTATGTAAATAAGTTTTACATAAATAGGATCATGTCATAAGAAGGGCTTTGTTTGGTTTTAGTTTTAACCTTTTTTTCCTATCCTTACACCTTCTACCTGGATAACTTCACACATACATGGACTTCAATTGGGCAAAAGGTTATCTGATTTCTTAACTGTGCAAACTGTTAGCACAGTCAAGATCTGTAAGAAAATTAAGATACAGCAAAAGAGAATGCTGTGCCTTCTTCTGTAATCACCGTTTCAGTGTCTCATGAAAAATGTTTATATTAGCAAAAGAATCCAATTCTGTTCTATCTCATTTTGTTTTTTTTTTTGCATTGGCTTGGCTGTTAGGTTGGGACAGGCTTTCAAGCCCAGAGAACAGGAGGTGGGCAGGCCCTGAACACACCTAGACCTCAGAGTTATTGGCTTAGTAACCCCACTAAGGGCAAAGCACTGGTACACAAGTGTAGTGATAATGTATTTTTTTTTCAGAATTAACAGAGTTTTTGAGTTGCTATAGCTGGTACTTTAATTCTAACATGTGTACACACGCATTACTTTTTTTAACTTTTAGAGAACTGCCCGTCAAGCCAAGGAAAGAAGCCAGGTGAGAAGACAGTCTCTAGCATCAAAACATGGATCAGACATCACACGATTTTTGGTAAAGAAATGAAGCATAAACATTTTTAAATGAATGACATATGGTTTATATGTGGAGAAGTCACCAAATTTTTTTTGTGCTTGTCTAATATTTTAAAAGTGAAGATTTTCAAAACACAAGTCAAGAATTCATCTTCCCTGTTCACGTTAAATGCTTTTAGCGTTAATACTTTTTGAAGTACTTAACAAACTGAAATACAATACTAAATATTTCTATGATCTTCTTGATATCATGCAGACTCCATTATATTTCAGTAAGGGTTTGTTAAGCTTTCAATTTCCCCTGACTATACCTTAATCACTGTATTATGCATAGATTGCTTTTGAAAAATATACTCTCAATTACTTGAAAAATGCTTCTGGGTTAGTATTGGTCATGGACTGCTATATGCCCAAATGCAAAGCCATAAGGGAAATTTTGGAGGCAAATCATCATTATTCAGGAATTCTAGACCAATCATGACCTCCTTGCTTAGTATGCAAGAGAGATTCTTGTTCACGAAATGCCTCCAAAATGAACCTGGGGTGCATATTTTGAGTGTTGTCTTCATTTTATTTCTTAGCCAGTTGTCTTTATTGAAAAGATGCTTTTGAAAATAACCTAATTGGACCCATGGTGTTTGTGGATAATTCAGGGATTCTGGCTGAAGTAACTGTTAAAACATGTTTTAAAAAAACCAAAATGCCATTTAAACTTCATTTTTTAATTTGTCTTAATGCATAAAACTAGGCTTACTGTCAAAGCATTCTTTGTCTCAAGGTTATCATTTTCTGGTTTTAAAGTCCTATTTTATTAAAAGGGTATTCCTGAAATCTCTTTTAAAAGGGATGATGATGATAAAACACTTTTTCTAAAGTATGATCAGATGGAGATAAATATTTAAAAAGTGCAAGGGTAACATTAAAATGTAATTGATAGACATGAAAGTGATGATGAAAGAAAACTAAGACATAATCTGGCAATACGTCAGAATCATGAGAGAATCAGAATCAATAAGTTAGAACTCACAAAGTCAAGGAAGAACTCCATTCACAAAAGGCCTGTTTGCAAATACTGTTTGGATGTAACATTAGTTTGAGTACTCTTTAGTTTTAATTAGTAGCTGGTATTTCACAACATATATTTTTATAAATATTATACAATCATTAATCTTCCAGAGTTTTTTTAAGTTTACAATATTTCATTGACATGATGTAACATGTGTTTTCAGTCGTGTCTGACTTTCTGTGATCCTCTGGACTGCCAGGCTGCTCCATCCATGGAATTTTCCAGGCAAGAATACTGGACTGAGTTGCCATTCTGTTTCTCTAGGACTTCCTGACCCATGTCTCTTGCACCTGCTGCATTGGCAGGCAGATTTTTTTACCTGCACCAGCTGGGAATCCCCTTGTATGAGATCAAATTTTACAGTTCATTTTTAAAATTAGTTGGGCTTCCTTTGGCCTTCTTTCTGCTTTGCAGTTTTCTGCCTCATTGCCAGGGAAACCAAGGATCCCTCACAGTTGAGAGCTGAGAAGCCAGCACGCTACTTTCCCTCCAGCATGAGATATTTGCAAGTGAGACTGGTCTAAGCAGGTCAGATTTGAGTGGAGCTTGCTCTTTAGATCAAACTAAAGTGGTAATTCCAGGGAGAAAATTCTCAGTGTGGGAACTATATGAGTGTTGGAGGCGAAATGACCCATGAAGATGGTTTCTCTCCTTGCCAGATTTCAAAATTCCAGATAAAAATGCTATAAGAGCATCAAAAAAATCATAAATAGGGCTTCCCTAGTGGCTCAGAAGGTAAAGAATCTGCCTACAATGCAGGAGACCTGGGTTCAGTCCTTAGATTGGGAAGATACCCTAGAGAAGGAAATGGCAACTCACTGCAGTATTCTTGCCTGAAGGACTCCATGGACAAAGGAGCCTGGTGGGCTGCAGTCCACAGGCTTGCAAAGAGTCGGCCATGACTGGGTGACTTTCACTCACGCACTCAGGATATATTTAAGCAAGGAGGTGAAAGCTTTGTACACTGAAACTACAAGTCTTTGGTGAAAGAAACTGAAGAAGACACAAACAAATGGAAGAAATTCCATGTTCCTGGATCAGAAAAGTTAATATTGTTAAAATAGCCGTATTACCTGAAGCAATCTATAGATTCAGTGCAATCATCCCTATCAAAATTCCAGTGGCCTTTTCAAAGAAATAAGAAAAAAAAAATCCTAAAACATGTATGGAACCAATAGCCAGAGCAATCTTGAGAAAGTAGAACAAACATACCATTTTTCTGCCCATTTTTTGATTGGGTTGTTTTTTCAATATCAAGCTACATGGGCTGTGTGTATATCGTGGAGATTAAGCCCTTGTCAGTTACTTCATTTGCAAATATTTTTTTTTTCCCATTCTGAGGGTTGTCTTTTCCTTTTTTAAGCAATGGCACCCCATTCCAGCACTCTTGCCTGGAAAATCCCATGGATGGAGGAGCCTGGTAGGCTGCGGTCCATGGGGTCACTAAGAGTCAGGCACGACTGAGCAACTTCACTTTCACTTTCACTTTTCTATGCTATGCAAAAGATTTTAGGTTTAATTACGTCCTATTTTTAATTGTTATTACCCTAGGAGGTAGATCAAAAAAGATACTGCTGCAATTTATATCAAAAATTGCTCTATGTTTTCTCTAAGAATGTTATAGTATCTAGCCTTACATTTAGGTCTTTGGTCCATTTTGAGTTTTTTTTTTGTGTATGGTGTTACAGTGGGCTCAAATTTCATTCTTACATGTAGTTTTTCTAGCACCACTTAATGAAAAGCCTTTCTCCAATGTAAATTCTTCCCCTGCTTGTCACAGATTAATTGACCATAGGTAAGTGGGTCTGTTTTTTTAATTTTATTGGACTGCAGTTGATTTACAATGTTGTTAGTCTCAGATGTACAACAAAGTGATTCAGTTATACATATACATATATATTTTCATTCTTTTCCAGATTATTATATAGGTTATCACATAATACTGAGTTCCCTGTGCTATATACACTAGGTCCTTGTTTGGTTATCTATCTTATATATAGTAGTATGTTAATCTTATATATAGTGTATGTTAATCCCAAGCTCCTGATTTATCCCTGCTCCCACATTTTCCTTTTGGTAACCATAAATTTGTTTTTTATATCTGTAAGTCTGTTTCTACTTTGTAAATAAGTTCAGTTGTATCATTTTTTAAAATTAGATTCCACATAGAGTGATATCATATGATATGTCTTTATCTTACTTCACTTGGTATGATCATCTAAGTCCATCCATGTTGTTGCAAATGGCATTATTTCTCCTTATTTATGGACGTATGGATATGAGGGGTGTAGCCGGTGGGGGGGATGGTGGGATGAGCTGGGATGGGATTGGCCTGTGTACACTGCTGTGTATGAAACACTCACTAACATACACAGCACAGGAAACTCCACTTGGTGCTCTGTGGTGACCTAAGTGGGAAGGAAATTAGAAGATGGGGTGATATGTGTGTATGCATCTAGCTGGTTCACTTTGCTGACAGCAGAAACTAACATTTTAAAGCATCTATATGCCAATAAAAAATTTAAAAATAAAAATTTTTTAGAAAGATTTTGCATAGCAAAGGAAGCCATAAACAAAACAAAAAAAGACAACCTATAGGCTGGCAGAAAATATCTGCAAATGATGCAACCAGCAAGGGATTAACTTCCAAAATAGACAAACAGCTCATATATAATATGAAAAAAAAAAAAAAAAAAACCCAGTCAAAAAATGGGCAGAAGACCTGAATAAGACATTTCTCCAAAGAAAACATACAGATGCCCAACAGGCACACAAAAAGGTAGATGCTCATTATTAGAGAAATGGAAATCAAAACTACAAAGAGGTATTACCTCAGACTGGTCAGAATGACCATCACCAAAAAGTCTACAAATAATAGTAAATGCTGACGAGAGTGAGGAGAAAGAGAACCCTCCTACACTGTTAGCAGTAATGTAATTGGTACAACCCCTGTGAAAAACAGTATGAAGTCTCCTTAAACTAAAAATAGAGTTACTGTAATATCTAGACCCACTCCTGGACATACATCTGGAAAAGACAAACTCTAATTTGAAAAATATACATGTACCTCAGTGTTCACAGCAACACTGTTTACAATATCCAAGACATGTAGGCATCCTAAATGTCCACTGACAGATGGATGGGTAAAGAAGATGTGGTAAACATATATATACAAAGACTGTTACTAAGCCATAAAAAGGAATAAAATAATTTTATCTGCAGCAACATGGATTGACATAGAGATTGTCATGTTAAGTGAAGTAAGTTAGACAAAGACAAATATCATGATATCACTTATTTGTGGAGTATTAAAAAAAATAATACAAATGAACTTATTTACAAAACAGAAATAGACTCACAGACACAGAAAACAAACTGTGGTTACCACAGGGGACAGTGGGGAGTGGGAGGAGATAAATTAGGAGTTTGGGATTAACATATACACACTGCTATGTGTAAAATAGGTAAGCAACAAGGACCTACTGTATAGCACGGGGAACTACGTTTAATGTCTCATAATAACATGTAATGGAAAAGAATCTGAAAAAGTATATATATATCATATATTAAGAATATGGGCTTCCTTGGCAACTCAGCTAGTAAAGAATCCCCCTGCAATGCACAAGACCATGGTTTGATTCCTGGGTGGGACGATCCCCCAGAGGATGGCATGGTAACCCACCCCAGCATTCTTGCCTAGAGAACCCCCATGGAGGAGGAGCCTGGCGGCTGCAGTCCTTGAAATTGCAAAGTTGGATACAACTGAGCAACGAAGCACAGCACATATTAAGAATGTGTATGGATAACCGAAACATTTTGCTGAATCACTAACAACATTGAAAATTAACTACACTTCAATAAAATAATTTAAAAATAAAATACAATATTGTAAATAGATAGGCTCCCAACTCCCCAGCACCAAAATATATTAGCAAATAATAAGAGATATTAAGGGAGAAACAGAC